TCAACATTTTGTTTTCTCTCGTATAATTGACAGATGGCAACTTTCATTTTTAATTTAGAAAGAGATACTAAAAACCGAAATAATTAAACTACAAATTTCTTAAAAAATTATCAAAATCGATCAACTAGAACACAATTTATAAAACTTTAAAATACATGAAAATTTTAAGGCGCCCGTTTTCGTGCCGGTGTGTTATTCAGTGCTAATTCACACTATAACTTATATACTTGTCAAACATATAAGCAGGTTTTGAATATGATTCCATTGTAGTTATTGATTAATATAATAGACATGTAGGGTTTTTCACATAGCCCATTCATTAGAAACATTTTAGCGTTGATTGGAAGCTAATTTAGATAAAAATGGTCAAATCTTCCTAAGACTATTTCGTGGGGTATTACTTTTTTTTACTTTTTGAATTTTTGTTTATCGATCATTACTTAATTTTCAAAATATTTTCAATTTTGTGTCAAAATGACATTTACAGAATGCATCTTTGTAAATTCATGTTTTCAGTCTGTTAGAAAAAATGGTTTCACTATACTTAATTTTTTAACAATTAATAAGAATTAATATAAAATTCTAATAAAAATTTGATCAAAGTTACAACTGAAAAGTTCATTAAAAGGCATTCATTAAAAATAAAGACAACTCTGGAATTGTTTAATGTGTATATTTAAATTCAACAGTTTTTGGAACATTGGTAACAAATAATGTTATCATCCTACTCTAAAATGTTATTTTCCTTAGTGTCTATCCATAGTGCACCGGCTTCCAAGTGGATACCTGCTTTGTAGTGGTATCGCTTTATGAATCTGCGATATTGAAGTAGGTATTGGCCATTATTAGCCGCTTGCAGGAAGCAGGAATGTCATTTGGCATCATGAAGCTGTCTCGTAGGGATCTATTATGTCTTTTTATTAGTTAGTGCTAATGTTCATAATAAACTGATACAAGAAAAGTACTACTCGCGTTCGTGATATTAATCGGTCACATTTTGAATTTGGTAAATATCATACGATATATCCTGAATATATTCCTGATACGAATATTTCCGCATGGAGAAAGAAAGGTTTGAAGTATATTTTCAACAAAATAGAAAACCGTTGAAAAAAATGCTACAATTTTCAAAATTTATAGATGTACACAAGATGGTTATGATTAAAATCGATTAATTTTTAATCATTTTGCAACTAAATAGCTTGAATAAAATTGTGCTGAAGCATAACTATAATTGAAAGTTTAGAAATGAGTCCAGAAGGGTAGATTAAGTTTGGGTGAGCGAGGGAGTTGAATTGGTGTGAAAAGGGGTAGCTGTGATAAAACTGTTGAAGGGGTGAAGCAGGCAAGCGACAAAAAGATACAAAAATGCATTCCGGTAAAATCGGGTAAAAGCAGTTTAAGCCGGTTGAAGCTGGCTGACTGGCTCAATATGGCCACTACAATTTTGAAATTGTCGGGGCTATAGTGAGCCAGTCAGCATACTATTGTTCCTCTATTTTTCACGTTAGTTTGCCACGATGAAGCGAGAAGCGGGAAGCCGGTGCACTATGGACGTACTTAGTTTGGTAACTTAGCCGTGATAATTAAGTATGTCTATATTACTAAGGTTAATAGCCACTTGAAAAAAAATCGAATCTATCCTTTTAATCAGATTCTCAATTAGATCTTAATATACTTTTGTTTATTAAACAGCACAACTGAATATATGTAATATATACAGGGTGTCCCAAAAAAAGGAACTTATTTTCCCTTTATCATTTTTAAAATAAATTGATAATAACCGAATTATTTCACTTTTGAGAGCCGCATCAGGCAGCAATCGATAATCAGCCCCAAATGCCAAGAAATTATCCGGATCTTAGTAGGTCTTAGTTATTTGACGCTCAGTGTTGACACATCGACTAGAAAGATTTAAAAGGACTGATTGATAGCAGATCGCTGTAATTAGGTTAGAGCGTCGTTTTATCACTTTACCTAACACCGCGACTCTACACTTAACAACAATTCGTTTCACTGCGATTCTTGACAGCACCACTCTTGAATACCCATGTGTATATGGCACAAAATACATTCATATACAATATGATCGAATAAAAAGGGCGTCAGCAATGGCTATGAACAGCATATCGCTGTCATTTTATATGTAAAATTATATATGGAATTTCATTCTTCGTCATTTCCAATGCACGCCGTTTTTTTTTTCGATCATACGGTACCATCTGAATGATTTAAGATTATTTCTTTTCGACCTTGGTTTTTCTTAATCTCACACTCTTGTTTTTGTGAATAAATACCAAAATAATTGATACTTCTATTTGAATAATAAAGTATTTTTAGAGGCTTAACTTATGTTTTCAGTAAAATCTCAAATGAGTTGGATATCCTAAAATTCATTAGCTAAACAGCCGCGGCCGGTAGAAAGTTCTTAATGTATTTATGTAGAATTGTTTGATGTGTAAAAAATTGATGTATATAATTGTTTATTATTTAGGCTGAGAACAAACGAGGCGGCTTTGAAAAGGAAAATGCAAGAATATAAACATAATTATTTTAAATATCTTCATAAATATAAAATGCTCTTATATATTACTAACACATAAGGTGCGACTTTTAATACATTTACAAGATTAATTCTAATACCCAACACAAAAAATTAAGATAATTAAAACTATTATTACAGTTGGGGGTTGGAACCTTCAGTGTTACAACAGCAAAATAAAACACTAAATCACCACAATTGGTGTATTGTGTTTACACTGGACGCGCGTTTCGCTAGCCATGTTAGCATCATCAGAAGATGATTAAAACTAAAATAATATCTACAAAATAGAGCCTTTATATACTCGCTCAGTTGGCTCTGAGTGGGCGTGGCAAAACTAGACTAGCGAGTCAAAACCAACTGAGCCTAACAATTACGAGTAATTACCGAAACTAGAGCAGTAGGAACAGAGAACTGGAAGAAATTGGGGCATTGTCTCTGATCATACTGTCTTTACATTTAATAATTTTAACGCTCTCAATATGCATCTAATTGCCGTTAATTTGAGATTTGTTTAACTAATTTTAAGTTATAGTATAGATTGTATAACTTAAAATTAGTTAAACAAATCTATCTATCTGAGCTATGGTATGGTAGACCGGATAAATCTCAAATTTAAAATTAAATCTAGTTAAGATTGATCTTCTAGTTTCTGATCTATCGTTCGTTCTTCTAGATCAAAATATGTTGGGCAAACTAGAAAGTCAATATGATAAATATTTTAAATTATAATTCTTTTTAGGGGCGCTTGCACCTAATTCTCCTTCTAATTATAATAGAGTATATAATTATAAAGAATATAAATTATAATTATTTTAAATTAATTAAAATATTCTTTGGTTGTATCTAAATCTTCAAACTACGAACTTGTACACGATGCTCAGGAATAGCATCAGAAATATTAATATAGACTCAATAGAACTCAAAGAACTCAGACATTCATTTTTGAATTCAGAGTTCTAATAGCGCGACCACTGTCAATCATCAACTTCACTTCTCAATTCCACTTATTTTTACCAAATGTTGCAAGTGTTTCTAACTACTATTGGTAAAATTTACAAGCTATAGGGAAAATTACAACGACTCTTTAATAAATAAACAAATAAAGTATCACGAGACGTAATTACTAAATCGTAAAGCTGAACGCATGATATACACCCTTCTCTAGAATTTTAAATACTGATTGGGTCTGTGAATTAGGGATGCGCAAAAATAACCGATTTTTCAGATAACCGGTAATTTTATTCCAAAAATCGGTTATTAATCGGTTATTTTTTTCGTTCCAGTTAAATTTAATAACTGTTCTTTTAGTTCATAACCGAAAATCGGTTATTTTATTTTTACTGACCTCGAACACAGCTTGTTTTTATATCTAAAAAAAATAGGTGTCACGTCTAAATGTAAGCTACGTTAATAGATCAGCTAATATAACAGCTCTTCATTCCAACATTCAAACTAACTTGATCCTTAGTTTAGAAGATAATTTATGATCCACGTAAGAGAGTAATATTAAATATCTAAAAATGTTGAATTTGCACTCTTTTTACATTTTTCTTTCTAAAAAATCATAGAGAGTGATATTTTTTTTCAGAAGATATTTCATTAACCGGTTATAACTATAACCGGTTAATTGTGTCAGGTTGGTGTAGGTAATTACGCTACACCAGAAATTATCCGGTTAACTGATAACCGGTTATTTTCCAATAGCCATCCGTCCTTACTATCTAAAGTGGATTGGGGTTGGGTCAACCCTTGGTCAACCGGTCGACCGCGACTAATCTGCTGTATCCCTTTCCACGTCTCTTAGCAATGTGCACAGATTCTCGGTTTATTTCATACGTTTGGCAACGTTTTTACCGTTATCTCTTTGTCCAGTTCATTATAAACGCATAATAATTGTACTCTTCTTACATACGGAAATCTCGACCCAAAACTAACCTTTGCCAGCCCTTAGTATAAATGAACTTGACCGGTGCTGTGCTGTGCCGGCCATTCATAAATGCGTTACCTGCAGTGGGATTCTGTAAGCTCCGTAGCAAGAAATTTCCTATCTAGCCTATGCTATTTGTATACGATTTATGGGTCACTAGACAGGAAATATGTTTACAGAATCGGGCCTCTGATGCTTTACAGTATAATACTTGTATTTATTTGAGATAAATCAGATGTAACATAAAAATAGCGTGTTCTGTGATCAAATAAAGTTTAAAAAAGTCTCTTTTTAAACTATGTTTCATTTAAACAAAAAATTTAACAAGAAAAACATTTACGACTTTTACCTGTATGGTAAATTTGATTATGGATTATGCAAGAATTTATGTTGTATAGTTTTTTGGACCCATAGTTTGTAAAACCAAGCATATTTTTTATTCCTTTCACGTTTGCATGACGATTTTTTTTCCATTAGCATGAACCTGTTAAATCCGTACAAAAACTAAGTTGGCATTTTGTTAAAAAGTTTGCAGAAGCAGGTAACCGTAATGAGTATGAATTTGAGCGCCAAGCTAGACGAGCTCCAACGCGGCGACCGTCATCTCGAAACCACTGTGGCGCTCTGCGAAATTCGTACTCAATTACAAGAACTCACGAAGTCGGTCGAGTCATGTCAGTCGGAAGTATCCGAAGTGAAACGGGATATGGTGGCTATCAAACATGAACTCGACACGGTACAACAAGTTAAAGAAGAGATCGAAGAACTGAGAGAGTACGTCGATCGACTCGAAGAGCATACGCAGCGTAGAAAATTAAGACTACTTGAACAGGTGAAGTAATTTTCCGGTAACGAAATTATATCACGAATATTATCGATAATTATTGTTTTATTTAATGAATACTATACAGGGTGGTCCGAACAATATTCCGGAAACTTCGGGAGCATATTCTTCAGATAAAAATAAGAAAAAAAGTTCGTATAAATGTATGTCTTAAAATACTTAGTTTCGGAGATACAGGGTGTAGAAGTTTAATTTTTATTTCGATTTTTTCCAAATAACTTTTGAAGTAACGTCAATATTTAGATGAAAATTGGTGTCTGGGAGTTTTTTGACATGGGAAATTTGATTCTAATGTCACTATGACTCCTACTTGTAGGGGCGGCTACCTATACATGTGTTTAAACTGTTTTGAAGAGTAATAACTTTTCGTCTGTACCAGTATAAACCTACTGGGTGAAAAATATACATTTCCGTCAAGAGACATTTTTTAAACATTTTTTACGTAAAAAATGTTTCTTGGTAAAAATCGCTATGAGAAACCGTTCTCAAGATATTTAGAATGGAAATAGTTAATACATGTCATTATTGACAAAAAATAAACATGTCAAGTGGATAGTTATTTGACTGAAATGATAAATTTGGAAACTTTTTATTTTTTTTAAATTAGTCATAAATTTTTCTTCGAAAAAAAGATGATAAAACAGTTTCTGTTGAACTTTAGGCACAAAAACATTTCAAATTTATGATTTCAGTCTAATAACTGTTTAGTCAACATGTTTATGTCAATGACGACAGGTGTTGATAATTTCGATTCCAAATATCTGGAGAACCATTACTCGTAGTGAGTTTTACGAAGAGATCTTTTTTATGTAACAAACGTCGTAAATGCATATTTTTTTACTCAGTAGTTCTATACAGATACGGACGAAAAGTTATTACTCCTCAAAACAGTTTAAGCACATGTAGGTGGCGCCCCCTACAAGTAGGAGTCGTGTTGACATCAAAATCAAGCTTGTCATGTCAAAAAACTCCCAAATACCAATTTTCATCTAAATATTGACGTTACTTCAGAAATTATTTAGAAAAAATCGAAATAAAAATGAAATTTCTACACCCTGTATCTCCGAAAGTAAGCCTTTTAGGACATACATTTATAAGAACTTTTTTGCTTATTTTTATCTGCAGACCCTGTAGATATACAAAATGTATACAAATATATTTCAAAAAACATGTGCCACCTCCCATCTATCGTGGGAAAAGTCCTCACGTAAAAATAAGATTTATATTTCATATCAACATAGGTCCGATTCTGCTTTGTTTCATAGCTACAGAAGGTTAAAGTCTTCATTTTTTTTCGATTTATTATGATTTTCTTCCAAGTACTTTTAGCGATTCGAATGAAATTTGGAGGGTAAAAGTTAGTATAAGTGCTACATATTTTAATGCTAAAAAAGTGTCGACAGATTCACCAGAGACGTACATATAGATTATCACTGGAATATTTTTCTAAAAAAAACATGTGTGCCACTTACTTTTTTCTCTTATTAGCAAAATTGTGTTTTTGATGAAGAACCAATGAGTAACATACTTATTTAAAAGATATTTTAAAAGAGAGAGAGAGAGAGAGAGAGAGAGAGAGAGAGAGAGAGATATTTTTCTCCAAGTACTTTTAGCGTGTAGCATTAGATTTAGAAGCATAGAAGTTATAAAAAAAATGGAATATTTTTTTATAAGAATTTTCTTTTGGAAAAATATTAAAAGAACTAACACTATGCGACGGAGCTATTCGCCGGTGAGCAATGGGTCGTAAGCTAGTGAAAATTAAATTGTGATACTTACGTCTTTATAAGATACTGGGCGCCACTCTGTTTTCCATTTACTTTCGAAAACTTCTAAGTTGAAAACTGAGAAATCAACTCAGAATATAGGTATTGCTTATTTTAGGAATTACACAAATGAAACGCTGAGATAAACTAATAACTAAGTATAATTAATAATTAAATGTAAAATAGAATTAAATCAGAATATGAGAAATTTGATGTTTGAAAATATCTATTTGTTGGTAAATTGTATGTGTAAAAATAGATCACTCAAAATGGTAGTTTAAATCTGCACGCTTCTGAATATTAATATTTTATTAATTATTCCGCAAAAAGTCTGGCGATCTTGGTACCAAAATGTAGGGACTCTTTATATTCAATAAAAAACGTACTATGTAAATATCAGAAATATGCATAACATGAATAAAATATATCGAAGTGATTCTAAGCAATTAAATATATAATATGCCTGAAGGGCTTAATGAATTCAAACGAACTTAAATTATAGATATAAAATCAAATGATCTGGCCTGTTTTATCCGTTCTGGTCACAAGCTGGTTGTGGTGAACTGCAACTGGAACTGGATTGTGGTATAAAACGTCTCTGGGCAGACAGGATCGAAAACTTGTGTGGATTCAGGTGATTCCTCCGTTATTCCCGGTGTGAAATGTAGGGACAAAACGTGAACCAAATGTCAGGTACAAAAAAAAAACAAAATGGCACCATAAAATAAAATGCGGCCATAAACTAAAATGCCTTCATAATCTAAAATGCTGCCATAATCTAAAACCCTATAGAAAGAAAAGATAGGTATTAGGAAACGTTACTTAACGTTACGTTTAAAATAAGAGTCTTACCTCTGCTCTGAGGGTTTTCCCAAACAAATTGGCAAAATGCCAACAAACGCCGATAGCTCTATCGGGTTCAGCTTTAGCCACCAATATGGCGAGGGAAGGTAGGCACGAGGTATGACTATACACCGTCAGATATAAAGTGACGAACATAATTCGACAGGACTGAAATAACTAGCCAGAAATAAACTTGTAGAAAAAATAAAAGAAAATAACAATACTTAGAATGCCATCTCGGTGCGAGGACTTGAATTATTTAAATAAAATAATTCTGTACATTTATATTAATTATGTGAATTTTAAATAAAATGCTACAAGCGATTCGAATGAAATTTTGAGGGTAGAAGTTACCATAAGTGCGACATATTTTAATGCTAAAAAAGTGTCATATTCACAAGGGAGGTGCATATGGGTTATCACTGGAATAGTTTTCTAAAAAAATATGTGCGCCACTGACTTTGCTTTTCTTTTGTTACCAAAATTTTGTAGACCGTTAAATACTGATTAAAAGTTGTCTCTTGATATTTTGCCTATTTCGGTCTCCCTGATGATGTAAACCCAATTTAATTAATTTGCCTTAATCCAATAATCCTAATAGGAACCTTTAAAAGATTATAATGTCATTAACTTAACAAAATGTTAAATAAGTACTCATAATAATACCATTATACCGGATGGTACATCGGCGTTGGAAACATAGGAAATCCCATGCAAATTTTGAAATGGACAAATATTGGCTCCCCTATTGATTTTGCAGCAAAGTCGTAAATAGATTTTTAAAGGTTTATTATGGTAAATACACATGCCAAAATTGAACAATTTTGGACCAGCCGATTTTGAGTAACTTAAGAAAGATTGCATCTATTTTTATATTGAAACAGAACAGGTAACAATCAAACACCAGTCAAAAACCGACATACCTTCAGTTTACAAACTATGATTTTGTCATTGTCAAAAGTAATTTAATTTTAATATTCATGGGAAATTAACCGAAACATATCAGATACACTGTCTAAGCTATTTCCCGCGTAGTCAGGGGCTCCGACTATTATGAAACCTCGTGGGTGCTCATCAAATATGAGTAAATGTAACAAATTTCCAGATTGTTACATTTGCTGTATTTATTACACGTTTTCACATACAGGGTGGCCCATCGAAAACGTTCCGCAAGGCATAACGGCCAGGGTAATTTTTTTTTCCGGAAATTTAAAAACAGGTCAATTTTGTTTGTGAGGGGGAGAACTTTTGCCCCAAAAATGATTGCAAAATCTTCAACTCTCTAAGCGGGGGTGTCCCCAACTTTTTTCAAATGGGAAGGGGGGTCAAGAGGTACTGCAATGAAAAGGGCTTTTTATTCTCTATATTTTCCCGCTTCGTTTTTGAAAATCGGTCGAGTCATTGAGAAAATATGAAGGATTGGAATTTGAAAAGTTTATTTAAACATTTATCAGAATAAATGATAAGGATAAATTCCTTCGACCAATTTGCTGTTTTTTCTTATTATTTCTAGATGTTTACGCATTTTTTCACTTGTCACAAAGTTGAACGATCAGGTGCGGTAGTTGCTAGATAGCTGTTCTGTGACTTGTGCGTTGAAGTTCTCAATATCGTTAAACTTTTTAACAATTATGGTGTACTCACTTGCAGAAAAAGTGGAAATAATCGAGCTTTATTTTAAAAATAATGAATGTAGCAATCGGGTTCCGCAGATATTCAATGAATGCCATCCTGAAAAACACCTTTATGGCAAAATTGTTCGCGAGTTAGTAGCAAAATTTCGCGAAACTGATGGTTCCGTTATGAATAAAAAGAGGCAGAGGGAAAACCCTGTAGTAAATGAAGCTATGGAGGTATTCGTATTGGGCCAAGTTGCCATGGATAGTACGCTGAGTACAAGAAAATTAGCCAATGCAAAATTAGCCGGCGTGAATCGTACCAGTGTCCAAAGGATATGAAAAAAACACAAGTTCCACCCGTACAAAATTCAGTTGGTACAAGAACTCAACGAAGACGATTTTGATCGTCGCTTGCAATATTGTGAAACTGTGAGTGAACGAGTGGCGAATGATAATAATTTCCTATTTAATGTGTGTTTTTCGGAGGAGTGTACTTTCTTTTTGAACGGTGTAGTTAATCGGCATAACTGTCGGTACTGGGCTGAGGGGTTTTTCACGAGGTGCACACACAAAACCCTCAGAAATTGAACGTGTGGGCTGGTATTTTGGAAATTCTATTTTAGGTCAGTTTAACGATATTGAGAAGAACTTCAACGCACAAGTCACAGAACAGCTATCTAGCAACTGCCGCACCTGATCGTTCAACCTTGTGGCAAGTGATAAAATGCGTAACATCTAGAAATAATAAGAAAAAACAGCA